GGCCAGTCCAGAGGGTAGGAAGTGTGGGGGGGAACTGAATTGGCTTTGCTCACTATTCCTTTATTATTCACAACAATCATACAGTAAATGGAAAACTTTCTTTTGGCCTAACAAGCAGCTTTTTTTGAGACACATGTGGCATGGAAAGTGAAAGGGGCAAGCCAGGAAAATGAATGTACTTTTTGTTTTTTAAGTTAAATAAAATGCAGCAACAGGCTTTGAATTAGAAAATGATTTAATGGGTAATAATGTCAGAATAAAAATGTGTTCAAATCCAGTAGCGGTCAGGATTGAGCTTTCCATACAGCTTTCACAAAGATAATCCTAACATTTTCACTGCAAATAATGTTTCTTCATTTGCTTACTAACACTTCTTGTCTCAGCTCCTGCCAACTTGGCAGATCCAGAAAAGGAATCTCAGCTGAAAAGCCAATATGACCACTTGGTGTCTGGGATGCAGAAAGACCTGGAGAGCCAAAAAGAGCAGGTTACCAGAGCCAGACAGGAGCTCGGTGTCCATCGGGAGCAGGTAAATGCCAAACAGATTTCATGTAATCACCATTTACTCATTTTGATTAACAACTTTGCCAGCTTGCTCCCCTTTCTTTATATATTCTCCATGTTGTGGCTTGTGCTGCTCATGCTGATAATACTTTCAGTCTCTATCAAACAATGTGCAAATTCACTGAAATTCACATCTATTTAAAAGAAAGCAACTGGGCTAGTTTCACTAAGCATTTCTTGAATTCAGATGTCTTTGTAATTGAGCTAAAGCGTTCCTTTAAAGAATGAAGAAGGCGAAATATATAAAATATCCTACAATTTGGCTTGTCTGCACCTGGTAGGCCTTGAAAGCTCAGGCTGAGCTGCACTCTCAGCGGGAGCAGGTCACCAGGGTTCAGGAGGAGATGTTGGCACTGCAGAAGAAGTACGACGACAAGTGCAGCGAGCTGTCGTCCTTACTGAGGAAGTACAAAGACAAGTGCAAAGAGCTGGAGGAGGCCAAGATGGATCTTCAGGCAGAGCGACTTAGCAACAGGTAAAGAAAGTCCTAGCACCTAACTAAAGCGGATGTGGCCAAACTAAAAGTTAAATGGGACACTTCCTTTGAATAAACAGTTGGTTGGTTTATTTATGGATTCCAACTGGCTTTGCAATTTATGCAAAGTACTTTACAAGCCCAGGTTCTTGAATACAGAGGGGTGACACTGAAGAGCCCTTAAGAATCCACACATAGTGACTGTTAATGGCTTTAACTGCTGCTAAGTACTACAAATATGAATATTGTTGATACTTTTATGGAATAAATAAACCATTCATCCAGACATGCAGTCTGTGAGGAGAGAAAGGTGTCGTCTGAGCGTGCAGACAGAATGAGGGTGGAACTGGAGACTATGGATATCAGATTGGAGGAGGAGAAGAAGAGATCTGCTGAGCTTCTGTTGCAGGTGAGATTCCCATTCAGTGATTTGTCTCCTTTAGTCAGTATTCAGTAATATTTACTTATTTATCAAAGTTTTTCTTTCAAAACATTTGTAATGCATAAAAAAGTCTGCATTTATAGGGTTGCATATAAAATGGAAAGACCTCATCCATTAGCAATTATATTTAATAAGTAAAGTGCAAGAGCACAATAGATGTACCAGCATATTTAAATAAAATACAGCTCCAGGGTTATCTGAAAAGAAAAGAACTGAATGATAGCATGTGTGTTACTCTTTAATGGTGCTATACAAGTGTGTTTGCCTTGCCTTGATCATGTGCTTCACAGGTAAATATGCTGCAGAAGTCCGTCCTGAGCCAGAAGGAAGAGCAGAGAAGAATTGCAGCACTGGAGCAACAGGTAACACTCTGTGTTTATATGTTACCCAAATTGTTCCTATTAATAGAAGTCTTTGTTTTGTAATTGAGTGGCTGGATTTATTAAAACAAATATATAATCACTAGGAACTGTGAGAAGTCAAAAAAACTGAGATCAGTAATTACTGATTGCACAACCTTAATGTTCACCACCCACTTATGAGTGGAAATTCTGTCAGCACGGCCCTTCTGGGTAGTATGTGATGTGGAGTTGTAACAGTTTTGAGCTGTGTTTTTTAAGAGTTGCAATCCAAACCGTTCCCACTTGTCTCTACTTCCTGTTTATTTCTGCCCCTCCTAAGATCCAACTCTCTGCCAAGGACTTTGAGAATGAAAAAATTGATCGTCAGAGCATGCAGCACCAGTTACATAAGGTGCTGAAGGAACTTCGCAAGGCCCGTGATCAGATTGCAAAGCTGGAATCTGCTGTAAGTGTTAGACTTTAATAATGGGGAAGAAATGTGATGGCTCTTGTTGAACACTGGCATGCAAGACTTCAGTCCCATTTTTGTATCCAATTAAAGCACCAGGGCTTCTGCTAAATGAATGTATTGTCATGTTTTGTGTTTCAGAAGCAGCCAAATGCTCGCTTTTCAGAGCCCAGCTCGTATAATAGCCTCGAGTTTGAGCGTCTCACTATTGAAAACCCTCTTGGCCCTACATCCCCATCTAAAGTCACCAACCTCCTGGACGAGAGTTTCCTGGAGTGCCCAAAGTGTCGGGCCCCTTATCCCACCAGTCGTCACAGGGAGCTGCTGACTCACATCGATTACTGCTTTGCGTAAGCTAACACATCAGCATAGATGAGTGATTCTCAGTGTGCATGTCCGGACCTCCGCTTACTCAAAGGGGTAAAAACAAACACAAGATCACTCTACAAGATTTCTGATTCATTCAGGAAATTTGTGTTTTTGAATCTAGGTAAAATAAAACAATGAACAGGCAGTTTTAGACACTGACTCTACAAACATAGCACTGATAACAGAGTATAAGATATTTCTTGAAGTCACTGGAGACCACTTGCATTCGATCCTGTTCTTTTATCGCAAAGTTAGAAATACCGCCTTAATGATCATTTAACATAAATGTATAAAATATTCATTTATGTAAGAAATCATGGGACATATTGTGCATTATTTTCCAAGAATGATGGGGTCTACGGTGTCCATTAAAAAATGATTTTTAAATTTATTTTATAACAGTATTTTGGCTTTTTTACTCTGTTTTTTTTTTTCTCATTCAATATCCAAACAGGTCCGATACTTGAATGCTTGTGTAGATACGTTTTTTTTAAATAGAAGGGATTTGCAGGATACTCTTAACATGCAAATCGCTCGAACATGTACTTCAGCTCTTTTTGCCATTAGAAAATCACCAAACATCTTCTTATTTACAGTTTTTTTTTTTTTTTTTTTTTTTTTTTTTTTTTTTTTAAAAACTTTAATACTCCATCCATATAGTTACATCTGGGGTCTCTGTTTAGATTTTGCTGTTTGTTAAACTCTTGGTGAATCAGTGTTGTTTTGGTGTGTAAATGTGTGTGTGTGTGTGTGTGTATATCACAGTATTTATTCTTGTTTTTGTTTTTAATTGGTGAACTACTGTCTCTTTTCAGTGATTTAGTTTTATTTTGCTTCAGTGTGTATCACCAGACAATGTTTTGCTTTTGTAATGGCCTTCTTTCTATCGAGGGACTATTGTTTATGTTATTTTGCATAAAAGTTTACAAGCCTGTCTAATATACTCCACTGATGAAACGGCTAAACACACACTTTCTAAACTCCTCTTCTTTTCCCTCCATCATCATCGGCAGCAGTAGTCGTGTTTCTTTTTGCCTGGCTTTATGCGAAAGTGTTATGTTACCTAATTAGCCATGTGTTTTCGGTTATGTCAGTGATGTTTGTGCAATTGCTAAAGCATTTCTCTGTTTAACGTGTAAACAGCTGTGTAAAGTATCCCAAACCATGACCAAGTTTTTATTTGCCTGAACTGAACCAGACTTAAAATGTACAGCAGTCGGGAGCTTATCTAGTCACATGTGGGTGGTTGTCCCTGTATTCTTTCCTGTTCAAGTGAAGCTCACTTCCATCTCCACCTTGACTTTTCAAGCCTGCGGCCATTTAAAGCTGGAATTAGATTGCATGAGTTAATTCCTTGTACTAAACTATTTAAGGCAGGGACTACCAAAGGTCCTCCCGGTAGGGGGAAAAAGAGGTTAAGGTGTCTATTCTTGCAGCCTTGGCAGTGTGACCAGTTGACATGAAACGAACACTGCTGTGCATCTTATATGTGGTTGTTTTTATTTGGGCTAGCTCTCATAGAAGATCCAAGAGTCCAACTTTTATCAATAAGTTTACCTGTTTTTTGTTTTTGTTTTTTTGTTTTAAACCTGATTTATTTCAATCATGTACACCAAAGTAGTTTTGCCATGATCTGTACTGTACTGTACAAAAAATGTGCAATAAAGATGTAAATCTCTTCCCAGCACATCTTCCCCTGTTTAGTTTTTCTTTCTTTTATTTAGTTGTTGATATTTTGGAGGGGTTCATATCAATCTATACAACAAGATCAGTTGTTTTCCAGGCAAACTTTAACCTATGCAAATGTCAGCTAGCATGTTGCTATTTTGCATGTACAGTGTTCACAAAGCTTATCAGCTAAAGCAGGGATTCTTGTGTTATTTCTTTTTATGGCAACTTCACTTGCAGAAGCATAAAGAAGTTCACACCCCATGCTTACTAATTTAGCAATTCGTACCCATTTACAAAAAAAAAAAAAGATGGTAGCATCATTTTCTTGTTTTCCACAAAAATCATATTAAATAAACTGATGTTCACCACTGATCAGAATGTGCAGTATGTGTAAATTATAAATATATTTTCCCACTTTTCCATGCTAGTTGCTTAACAAACATATAAGAAGCCATAGCTAGAAGCTTAATTTGTACCATTGTGTTTTTCCCCTTTTGCTTTGTTTTCTTGTAGCGCAATTATAAAAGATTTAAAAAAGCAAAAAATTCTACTTGGCTGTACTTTTGATGTGTTTTGTCTGACAGAATCCAAAAGCAACGACACGAATTCATTATTTGCGATCCAGGAACGTAGATAAATATTTAAAGGGCAATAAAGAATGAAGTGAGCCACAGTGGTATGAATGTTTTATTTCAAAAACTGGATCAAGAAGCAAACGTCATATGAAAAAGAAACAACTTAACTGCTCTTTTATGACCCTATAAATATATAGCACATGAGCTAATGTGTATCTGTGTATGTATAGTTAAAAAACAATATCTCCTCGAGGACTACAAGATACTGTGCATTCATTAGAACACTGAACCAGTGTTTTCTTTATAATAAACATAGTGGTTCTTACCCAGAGCTGCAGTACTGCTAAAAATCCAGGTTAACAGATAATTGTTTGTCACATTGAGAGAGGGCTGATTGCATAATTCTGTCATTCTGATTGTTTGTTTGTTTTAATGGTACTCATGAGGGAATATAGGAAGAGAACAATAACAACCATCTTTCCTTTTAATTTGAGATTGCAGCTATATAAATGTGGCTGTTCATAGTTCAATTTTGGTTCATTTTTAAAGAAGAATGTGCTGCTTTTTTATAATAGAGATGGAGACAGAAGAGGTGACTAAGCAGTGGGATTCAATCCAAGATCAGCAAAGTGTCACTGTGGGTCAAGAGATGTGCCACTCTCACAGAAGCCTGCAACACAAGGGAGATAAGTAGCATTATTAACTATATGGTAGCTTAAACATCTTTATCTCCTGCATGCGTTAGTACTGAGCATTTTATTTTCCTATATTTCTGAAAATATTGGCAATATAGGCCAGGCAGACACTGACCACAAGAATTTTCACCTTTTAATTTAGTCAATTATTCACTTGGTCTTTTACCCTATTGAATGACGGACTGATAAAAGCCACAGATCAAAGAATCAAAGCATAGTCAACTCACCGGTGTGTGCAACCCGTCTGTATTTACCCAACAGACAGAGGTCTGTCTTCTTCTGGAGGACAACTGGCTGGTCTTCTGGCCTTAGGCCAGTTGAGTGACGAGAGAATATGAAGGAGTACCCATCTAGGCAAGTGCCATCAGCGTCCACTAGTCTGCAGGAGTAGTGGACTGCGTAGTTGTCATAGTCAGTGTCAATAACCCAGTGGTCATCATCTAAGAGCACGGAGAGTGTGGAGGAGAGGTTACTTTTGCAAAACCATTCATTTACAAATTTTCAACTTACATACTGAGAAAAACAAAAAACAACAAAGAAAGTATGAAGCCAAAATAACAGAAAAAAAAAAATATATATATGTATATTTTTTCACTTAAAAAAACATTAAAGTAATATTAATAATACAGCTGTTTGATCCAGTGGTGGATACTGATGTTTTAGTGATTGCATCCCGTGTCTAAAATTATTACTTAACCTCCTTTTTCTTTAATAACACAGTAAATACATAGTCATACCCCCTGACGTTAAAATTGAACTCAACAAAACACTATTCATTTTCCAGTGTCCGGGGTCACGAATTAAGTGCAGCAGTTGATAATTATGTTATATTATCAGTTGGCTTAAGGTCAAAACCCCCTTGGTGGTGACTATCAAGTAACAATTACAGTGTCTGGTCGTTCATTGTTGAAAGGATTTCTTTTTAAAGTCTGAACAAAGACAAATTTGATTCAACATGAAAGTTAAAGGTGCTTTTCACTTCATAACTTACTTCCTGTCTGCAAGTAGGATGCAGCTCCCCAATACTTCATCTTAAACTTTGCAGGGTCAGCAGTCTCCTCGAATGTGGCAAACATGTGGGCACACATCTCCCAGTTGCTAGAGGTCAAACAGAGAGAATAAGTCATTACAAAAAATGCGAGACAAAAAAAATCTCATATTGCAAATTGCACACGTTCAAAGCAAAAGCCTCCACAGAACAGAGCCTACTTGAGGATGATGACTCTGCCTTGGGCGGTGGCACTCATTTTGCCATCTTCTTCAATATTTATCTGGGCTACGACGTTATCAAGCAAGAACAGGCCTTCTGGATCCTTCTTCCCTACAGCATACCATGTCCCTGCATACTACGAGTAGAAGAACACATTAAAGAAAAATCACGGTGGAATAGTACTACTCAGAAATTATGTAAAACATTTTTTTTAAATAACAACGTAGTTAATATTTTTCAACTCACCCTAGTTTTGTCGAAATTCTGCATGACGTTGATGTTGGCTACCTGGCAGTCCTGTGCCCAGGACAGTGCCAGGAGAGAGAGGGCTACAACGTACCGAAGCATTCTACCTCCGAGGAAAGAAGAAGAGAAAGAAGGCACAGACCACAGACAGTTAGAGAAAAAAAGGAGGCATAATGGAGAACAACAACAGAAATACAGACATGCACACTGCACTGCAAGTCCTCAAGACGAGCAGAATGTGATGAAACTCCAAAAAGTACTTCCACAGGGCTACAATAGTGTTTAAAAAATAAAACCAATACCAGAAAAAATGATATATCTTTAAATATTTGACTGAAAATGTAAAAGCAAAACCCCCCAAAAAACAATCCATATGAGTGTGTACCTTGATACCACAAAGACTCCAAAGAAATCCTCTGATTTTCAGTCTGGACTGGCCTTAAATACAGCTGGCCAGTATTACATAATAACTTCTGGAGACCCAGAGCGCCCCTGCTTTCCCCACAGCGAGTTTGCCTTCCATTGGACAAACATTTACATAACCGCAGACCCCACTCCTATTGATTTATGTGTTCTGCACATTTGGTGGACCACCCCTCCCAATCTCCTATTTTTATCAATGCAATGACTGGTAGAACCAGAAAGATCGGATCTACATGTATATCTTTTTTTGAGGGGGGAGGGTTCTTTCTGTATTTGCCAAAGAAATCATAAAGCACGCTTTGACCAGCATCTGTGTTATTGCATCAGTTGTTTTCATCTTCCAGCTCCGTGTTTGTGTAACTGGAGCTCAGAGTCCACGCTCGGCAGAAAATAATCAATGCGAAAGAAAGGTGATTACGTCTTTTCTCAAAGCAAAGTCTGAAGTTTCAAACGGAGGTCAATAATGATAGGAACTGTTAGCACAACATATATGGAAGCTGATCTTTATGTATTTTAACCTTTGGGATTAATCCATGTCAATGAAATCCAGAGCGCTTAATGCTGTCGATCATAGCTGAACACAAAAGAAGCTTATCGATCGGTTCTTGTGCTGAAGAAAGTGGATCGTGCTCGATTGCCATCAGGCATGAACAATGTTTCCCAAATGTTTCACGCTTGCATTATTTTGTTTTTTTGAAAGGTTTGCACAGTTAAAATACACTTTGGCATAAAAAAGAAATACCTACTCTACTCTCTAAGACAGGTCTGTTTTTCGTCTGCTGGGGCTTTTTCTTTTAAATACATCGATGCTGTTGTTTTTCACTAAGATCGTAAAACCGGTCTTCTGAGAGCTCAGCTGAATAAAGAAGAGCAAAAGTGAAGCCAAACATCTGCAGATTGCATAACCAAAGAGCTGGCCAGCTGAAAAACAGGGCAATCACTCTTGAGTAGAAATAATAGCTCCTGGAATTTGGCCAGAGGTGCTGTAACATTTCACAGTTGTGAACGCTGGCCAAGAAGCTATATACATTGCACTGCCAGATTTGTCTGTGCGTTAAACATTTATTGTGTGCTGGTGAATAGGAATGTAGTGCTTGAAGTAAGAGCGAGTTTCTTTTTTCTCATGGAAAAGTAAGTTAGTAAAAATCCCTGTATAAAATTGGAACTTGAGTAAAACACCTCATGGCTACATCCACAGTCCCCATCTGAACTTTGGAGCTTTGAAGAGGGCAAAAGCACTGAACACGCGCCGATTGAATTTGGGTAGAGTAGTATGTCCCCTTGTAACATAATCCAATCAAATTCCACCCCTACCTGTGCCCTTAAGGGCCAAAATGTAGGACTGACAATGTCAAGATGTATTGGATATACATTGTACAGATTTGATCACGATTAAATGATTAGGAGTGCAATTTGCAAATCTCATCTCATCTTATCCAAACAGATCAATCATTCACAAGGATCCATTAAGTGCAGTGGTTTTTAATCATTAATCGACCTATTTAGCAAAATGCTTACAACTTTCTTATGTTCCAATTACTGGCATTCATAATTATTTTATAGTATCTTTTTTTTAATTGCTGTCTTTTCTGTTATTATTCTATTCCTCTACATATGTACAGAATTCACCTGCTTGCTGCTACTACTGCACATTCACCTAATGTATATACTATATATATAATGTTCTTCCTCTACCACCCCCACCCCCCATTTTTGCACATGTCGAGGAGCGTGTGTTATACTTGTATAACTATGCATGTGACAAATAAAGAACCTTGAAGCTTGAACCTATGTAAGCGTATAAAGGATACTGAGCACAGAGACTGAAGAAGTCACTCGGATGAGTGACGAAACATTTCTCCCACTGAAAACGCTACGTCCAGATGTACATAATCAACCTTTTGGGATATATAAAGGATAGTGCACGTGGGGGTTGGGGGGAGAGGACACATTGTGTAACCAAGGTAAAACAAGTTCACATCTGTGAAGCTTAAGGTCCAAAAACACAATGATGTCAAACAGTGAATGAATAATTATCAACACAAATCGGCTGTCTGCATTATTTATAAAATCATTCTGATTTTGCTACAAATTCTGTTCATGATTTATTTGTTATTGGTAATGTTACCATATGTGGACATTAACAAAAGGTAATAGTTAGTGTTACATTAAGAATATCATCTATGTGTGATATCATTAGGGTCTTTAGAAGTGGTAGTAAAAACACTCCATGATCACGATATGCAGTTATGGTATCCACATTTTATTAACATCAAGAATCTAATGTTAACCATGCCCCAGATTGTATGGAGATAGCACATAGACACATATAAACATACAAGCCAATAGTCTGAGGAGTGAAAATGTGTCTGTAAAATAACAATATGACCTGGACTTTGGGCACAATTTGGCTGAAGACTCTGTATAAGATCCTTGTATGTAATTTTGATTAAATTCAAACTAATACTGTTTCGTTCTCTTGACACACAATGGATTCCACAAGCTCATGGGTCCTTTGGCTAGATGAGCTAATAATAAAATAAAAGCTGTGACAAATTCAGGACTCCTGAAGATACCTGGTGTTAATCAAAACTGATTTAACTTTGACAGTGTGACTTCATGTGTGACAGCTGAGCTGCCTGGTGTGTGCATAATTTGCCATGGCCGATCCTTTTCTAAATATAGGTTTATGTTTAATAGAGGGCATGGTTAGCACCAATGGATGAAGAACATTGAGAAGATCCTGGATGTGAATCCATTGAGCTGCCAGGTGGGTTTTCTGTTTGGCATTTGCGTGTTCTCTCTGTACCTGTGTGGGTTCTCTCCAGGTTCTCCAGCTTCCTCCCACAGTCCAAAACATGCTGTTGGGTTAATTGGTGATTATAAATTAGCTGTAGGTGTGAGTGCTTTTCTGTCTCTCTGTGTTAGCCCTTATGATAGATGGGCAACTTGTCAAAGGTGTACACCACCTTTCGCCCTATGACATCTGGGATAGGCTCCAGCCAAGATGCAAACCTGAACTGACTAAAAAGACGGATGGCTTTAATAGATAAAAATGTGCTTAAATGATAATCCGCTGGCAATGCATACTGCCATGTCACGAAGAATGACTCCTTTAAACACAACTTTACCTCCTCATTGATATCCTACTACTATCAGAAAGATCAAAAAGATTTATTACAGTAGCATGCACTGCACATAAAAACATCTCCTTCTGTTTGCTAGTATGCATGGATCATGTAAAAGTAACAAACAAACACCTGAGTAGTGTGTGCTTATTAATCAAAGGTGAAAAAATCTTACAAAAAAGGAAATAAAAGAAAGGATAATGAATAAAATGAGGGCATATTTGAAAGAAAAAGTATATTAGACTGGCAAATTTGGTGTCTTTGTATCCAGAAAGAAACAATTCCTAATAATGCTTATGCACCTGAGGCCTGTACTAGCTAGCTGCTTTCCGTCCGTGCTGGTGGGCAGATAAAGTGCAATGGTTAGAAAATTTGTGTTTGGACATGTTTGATCTCACAGTGCTTCGTCTAATAAATGTGCAAATACATTCCGACAGGACCTGAATTATGTTGGTATCAAATGTTCAGCTACTGAACTACTACTGAATGAATGGAATTGCAGAGAGATCAAAATAACTGGTCCTTTTGTCCATAGTGTCATATCCTGAAAAGTACTCAAAACACACAAAATATAATAAAAATGTTTTTTTATATATTTGTAGAAAACACATATGAATACACAACCAAGAAAATACCCATCTGATAGCTGATTTTCTGTCTGCCTGTCCTTCCTCCTCCACACACTAGAAGCCAACCACCTCCTCCCGCTGTGAAATTGACTAGTCTAATTTATTTCCACAAACCCTGCTAAATCCGCACGCCCACACACACACCTTTTGTAGTTCTCACTTTTGATAGGCTTGTCTCCTTAATCCTTACAGCAGAAACAAAAAAATAAATAAATAAGTAGAAAAAAAAATGGGACACTCCTTTTCTCAAAGACCTGCCAGCAGCTAACCAGACAGTGGCGTTCGGTTAATAATAGCCAGCCATGGTTGTTTTGTACCCATCCAAGTTCAGCTAATTGACCAATTTCCAGTTCCAGCACTGATGCCTCCACGAAGGTTTCATTAGAGCGCAGGTAGGCTGCCCACACACTGTGAGCTTTAAATAGACGATTATGGCCAGGGACACAATCGCTGCCAGAGACTGATGCTATTTAAGTAAACTACTTCCTCCACTGTAGCAGCAACCACAATAACACAACAGTGACAAACCTAAAGCAAGGTTGGCTCGCTAGGAAAGCCCTCAATTTAATTCATAACTACAGTTAACAGTGACTGCACATTAGCCTGTAGCAGGGATTCCCAAAGTGTGGGCCGGGCTCCTGGTGGACTGCAGAAAAACATAAATTTAGTTCAAAACTGCTTACTTAGTATGCACCGTTACATATTTACATAAATGTATTTATTTATATAAAAAGTGAATTAAAACTGGTAATTGGAGATGTTTAGTTTTTGATATTACTCATTACTCTGACCTAGATTTATTGGAGTTTGTGTCCCAGTGGTGAGTGGTTCATGCATTGGGTAGTATAGCTGGGCAGATCTATTTAAATATTGATAGTATCAATACCGATGCAGGTATTGGTAGTAGTGATACTAGCACAATAGTATCAATCAATATAATAGGATACCAGTCTCTATCCTATTATTTCAGGATGTAGGCCACTGAGTTGTGTTGAATTAATTATTTTATTTGGAAATTACAATAATATACCTCAAACACTCACTATGAAAAATGACCCAAAGTGCTTAAGAGACAAAACCAAAAAACTCCCAACCCAAAAAACACAGTTTCAAAATATAATAAGCACCGAAAAAGCTGTTTTGTTGTGTTAACTAATTGTTGTGGAAAGTAAAAGTCACATTGATTTGATGGTCATTTAAAATGTGTTCAAAATGTGCGAACTGCTGATGATTCATGTAATAGATCATAACACAGTTACACAAGCTGCCTTTTGAAGTTAAAGGTTTTACTATCAGTATTGATATCAGCAATACT